TAGTGGCTTCTTCTTCATGCGTTTTTTAGGTGCATCAGCCTAAGACCCCTGGGGAGACCTCGTAGGAGACCCAGACCTCGTAGATTCGACGTCATCTTCCACGTCAGACTCGATTGGTTCTGGCTCTGGCTTCTTTTTTTTGGCTTCTTGGCAACCACTTTGACGGCAAGCTTCTTCCTGGGAGGCATCTTTTTTATTTCTCTTCTAGCAAATTGCAGATACTTGTCACTTGAAAAGTCAGAGCAGAATGATTTAATGCATGAAGATACCCAGCTTAAATATACCCACCACGGGCGGTCCGTGATGATCCGGGGCTCTGCCGGGGCGATCCGTGTTGGCACCGGGATGGTCCGGTGTCATCCGTGTTGGCACCGTGTTGGCACCGGGGTGGCCCGGGACGGTCCGTGGTGGCTACGTGCTGGGTCTGGAATGATCTGTACTGCTGCCGGGGCTATGCCCGGACGGTCCGGGGCGGTTCGTAGTACCGTGTTGGGTCCGGGGAGACGGTCGGTGGTTGCGATTTTTTGAACAAAACATCCCGGACCATCCCGGATCACCCCAGACCATGGTCCGGGATGGTCCGGAGTGGTCCGTGCTCGTCCGTGCTGGTCCGGCTTTATATGGGACTGGGGCTTAAGGAAGTTATGAATTTTTGAAAAAGTGTGTAAAACTATGGAACAATGACAATCACTACACAAATTGCCAATTTGGTTATCAGTTTGTGACGTCATGTCCTCACTATTTATCAATTGATTTATATACCTTAGTTTAATCACGTTAATTTCCCTTTTTATGCCCCAAAACTTGATTCCTCCATACCTTTGCCCAGGTTATATGATTTGTATCATATTGCGTGCATGACATTTCACAAAATCTTTCATGAACTTTGAAGAATTGATACTATTTTCTGAATATTGTAAATGCATAATTATTGATTTTTAGGGATTTTTCAGGGATTTCAAACATAAAACCTCCCGTTGCTTCGCTTCGTTTTCTCTGTGGTTCTTGGTCAGATGATCACGCTTCTTGACATAACACATTCCATCTTCATTGACACAATCAGAGCAATCTGAAGTTTGAAACAGGCGAACATTCTGCCTCCCTCTATTACAAAAGTATGTCAGTAGGTCAACAAATACCTTGTTCTGCAGTCCTGCAGGAATGCTGCAATCCAACTGGGCAGAAGTCTGTTTCTTCTCCATGTCAGCATGAAAAACTGCATCCTTGTGTTTAGTACTTCCTAAGCCTCTTTGCTTCAACTTCACCTGACCTGCTTTGAATATCCTTGGTCATCTGACACTTTAGGGAAAAGTGTGTTGCTGCAAATGTCAATGATACAGTTATCAAGGTAGTGACAATGGATCCTGTAGCGTACATATTACAGTGATTTTGTGTGTACAGTGAACAATCTCCCTTCCTAGTAGTGGGTAGAATGATGACAACAAATTCATCCAAATTCGATGTATTTTCTTTTGTAATGTCCGTCAGTTAGGCATTTAAATTTTTTGAGAAGCTCTCAATTTTGATTTCTTTGTATTTCTAGCGTCAGAATTTTCTATTAGTTTTTCTAATTCTATGTCTGTAGTTCAAATTGCGGCCATTCTTCTCGCGGTTGAAATGGGTTATAGCTTTTCTTCTACCTCTCCATAGGCATGTATTTTCTTTTCTAGGTTTAAGAGAAAACAATTGGTTAGGAAACTGCTATCTGAAATATTGATTTTTGTCATTAAAAAAAAAATCATCTGTTTTGTCCAAGGTTTGTGTACAATTTTATTCATGTTTTTAAATGTTGCTTTCATAAATGTTTACTCAGGAGCTGAAATAATTACAGTGGCTTTGATTTTGGCATTAAAATATATATTGATAAAGTATGTTTTGTTTGTGTTTATTAGGATGGAATTTAAGGTTGTAATACATGTAGTAATTTCTTTTTAAAAGTTTTTTCTATCTAGTTAACATGATTCAGAAAGCAAAGTAAAAGACAGAGAGACAGAAAGAAAAGGGTGAGTAAGGAAGGAAAAGAGAGAGAGAGAGAGTGGGGGAGATAGGAGAGAGAGAGAGAGAGAGAGAGAGAGAGAGAAAAGGGAAAGAGATAGAGAGAGAGAGAGAGAGAGGGAGAAAGGGGGAAAGAGATAGCGAGAGAGAGAGAGAGAGAGAGGGAGGGAGAAAAGATGGAGGGACGAAGAGAGAGAGAGATGGAAGAAAGATAGAAGGGGCAGAACATTAGGAATTTCTTACTAATTTTAGATCAGAATGTCTGAATTCTATTGGTTTGTATAGATGTCATATTTGTAATTAAGGGTGCAAGTGCACGAGGCGCAATTGTATGTAAAGGTATATTGAAGTTTGAGAACATGAAGAATGGGGAGATAAGGAAGAAGCTTGAGTTTTCACTGCATTTTTTATTTTCTATATCATGTTGCGATTCATCCTGCAAATGTTGTAACATATCTTGCATGTATCTCTCACTTTTCCTTTCTTTATCTTCACCCTGTATGTATGTGGTTGTTGTTTGTCCCTGTCTTGCTATATTTTCCCCTATGCCTAACTCTCTCTCTCTCTCTCTCTCTCTCTCTCTGCCTGCCTGCCTGTCTGTCTGTCAGCCCCTCTCACTCTTTCTGTCTGTCTCTCTCTCCCTCCCTCTTACTCTACCTGTCTCTCTCTCTCTCTCTCTCTGCCTGCCTGCCTGTCTGTCTGTCAGCCCCTCTCACTCTTTCTGTCTGTCTGTCTCTCCCTCCCTCTTACTCTGCCTGTCTCTCTCTCTCTCTCTCTCTCTCTCTCTCTCTCTCAGTCTCTGTGTATCTGTCCCCTGTCTCTCTTCATCTTCCTATCTCCCGCTTCTACACACTGTTCTCCCTCTGTTCACCTCACAAATGTATCTGCCACTCCATTGTTACCACTAACTGCTCCATCCCTACTCTTACTTCTCTCACAGATATATATCTCAAACTCCATTGGGAACCAATAAAATTGAGTGTGATTTTTATGTTTAACAAGTTTTGCATTATTACAGGGCTTTTCTCGACAAGCCAGGGTACTTATAATTTGGGTTGAACCCCATTATACAGATACATGAGCATAAAAAACAAAACAAAACAAACAAACAGAAAAAGTAACCATACAGGGGATTCAGCTTGTACACAATTGTGTACACTGGATAAATAAATAATTTTATTTGAAGGTGTTAGATTTATACCAGAAAAATAACACTTAAACAATATTTCTCTAAGAAATAGACCAGATACTGAGGAATATATAGTATGATCGCAAAACGATATTATCATCACTTTAAACAAAAAATGTAAACCATGTATGCAATTCATGATCGAAATAATGTACTCTATTATAATAATATCATAATAAGTTTTCGTATTGTAGGTTCGTTATCACGTGACCCACAGAAACATAATCGAAACTAAGTAACTAGGCCTATATATGGTATAACAATTAGTGTACCATTGACATATTTCGTGATACATTGTGTCAGTTACAAACACATACCGGTAGCTCGACTATTTGTAATAAATTCCGAGTTCTTGTTTCATCAATCATTTGTTCGAAATGAAAGTATGAACCCCTTCAAGTTTTCGTGCAATAATGAAATAAATTTTCCAGTGATAAAGGATGTAGTAAATTTGATTACTTGTCGTGATGTTTGAAGGATATTCCAAGCAATGTGTTCATATATTGTAGTATGTTCATAAATATGTTTAAATATTTTTTTATCAATTTTGTCATCCAATAATGAAATTGTCTTGATATCCAAATGGATAATAAATGCTTAAATTCGATTTCAATTTCAATGATCGTTGACTAATCATTCTTTCTTGTATTACAACCTTGCCATTTCCTTGTAATCAGTTGTGTACATTACCATGTTTTTGTTGTTGTAAATGAACTTCTTGATCTCGGTTGGCGGACTCTGGGACCTGCTTGTTTTGGGGGCTCTGCGCGCGTGAGACTGTATCGTATCCATGATCGTATTCTTTTATCTTCCATGTTTTGAATTGCGCAGATCCTTGAAACACGTTGGTCTCTTTGCCGATCTGCCTGGATCGAGAGGTCCATCCTTCCCAGGGGCCCCACTCACAAGCATATCTTTTTGGGGTCCCAGTTTGGATCATGTTTGTTCGTCATGATTGCTATGTCTGGTGTTTTTTTTAATAAACTGAACTGAACTGAACCAACAGCCTGTGGTCTTTTTGAAGAGTTTTGGATTGCTGGATAACGAAATAAAAGGAATATCATACAGAACATATTTCACAGGACATATTTCACGAAATCACCCCTAAGCTCATTACCCTGGGCAGGTGCCCCTATTAAAAAAAACACAAGTTCAGGAAATAAGTCAGAATTGTAGCTCGGAGTAAGCTGAAACACTGTAAGATCTTTTCGTATTGAAATATGACATTATTATCAGAAATATAATACACGCGATTTTATTACAAAAATGAATAACATCATGATTACGATTTAACAATATTTTAAACTGTAAGGAAAAATGAAATCAATTATAAAATCTTTACAACTATTTACATGATTAGTTACAAAATCTATTTTACATTACAGTTCTTGAATTTGTTTAAATTAAATTTTGCATAAAGGAAAAGTGAATAAGAAGAGAATTATAGCATTCATAGAGAATTCTAAAACAACACACTTAATAAGTAAAGTTTGAAAAGAACATTATGATACATAATTATAACTCATCAGAGTAATTCATTTGAAATAAGACGGGCATTGTCGTAAAAACTCAGAAAAAAATGTTTATTTCTATAATCATACGTCAAAAGTAAACTGACAATAAAAAACCTTATGGAGAGAGAAAGAAAGACATCAAACCGTTACATTTTAATGAAAAATAGACAGAGACAGGGGGATGGGGAGGGGGGGGGGGGGTGAGAGAAGGGGTAGGGGATGCAGAGTAAGAAAAAAAAGAGAGAGAAGCGGAGAGAGAGAGAGAGAGAGAGAGAGAATAAGAGAGTGAAGGGAAAAAAGGGAGGCGAGAGAGGAAAATAATAGAGATAAAGAGAAAGACAGACAGACAGAGACTGACCGGGCCATATAAATCGTCTTCAGAAACTCCCTCAACTATGTTTTTGCGCGTCCAGTTTCCATCAAAAATCTTTGACGTTATTCCATTTACCTGAACTTTGTTAACGAACCACTGCCCCGATCATAGACCACGATGTAAATTATCGTAAAATCAAAAGATACCAACTAATCCTTGAACCAGTTCGGCTTGACTTAAATTCAGCTGTGCCTCCCTCAGTCACGCCATCAAACCGACCCCACCCTAATTCCAAAACGAGCGATTTTTGTTTAATTATCAGGGTATGATATAAACGTTGAATCGGTCTGTTTCCTTTTTGTTGGTGTTTAGTGTCTTCGAACCAAATACTTTCCCCTACCGCCAAGTTCGCCAACCAAATCCCAGCTAATTTTCGGTATGGTGTCACTGTCGGTGTCGTCGGTGTGACTGAAACGCCACACGGTCCACACCTCTCCATCTGCAAAGACCAACTTGATGAATGTTGATGACGAAATTACCAACTGGAGTAACAGCAGATCTAACGATTTCCCAATCACGACTCTACAATGAATCATACTCCATGATTTCATTTCTATCACACAGTATCCTCATCATCGTTCTCCTTTATTGTTCATGTCCAAAGTCAGTGGTCCTGAATTCGTGATCGTCGTCGTCATCCACCATCTCAACTTGACGACGACCCCGCCTTGACGACGGGTGCCTCACTGGTTGCTGTCGAGCACGCTTGCGCCAACAAGGACTGGCGCTGTTTCTTTCTAGGAATAAACGAGAATAAAAAGAGGACATGAGTGTCATGATAATGAATATGTATCAGATTATGCAAATGTGACACCTGTGACCTCAGGAGGTCAGATCGCATGTGCGCGATGGATATGCTATACGCGTGACTTGATACCCAGTGCGGGGAATAAACACCAGACTATGGTTTATGGAATTCAACTACTTTGTTAGTTTGTTTGCACTTAATATGTGACATTGGCGACGAGGATTAATGTTTCTTGGATGTTGAATCTGTGGCTACGAGCTGGAAAAGTTTCAACATGGCATTCGCTGGAGCGGAATTGTTAGCGCTTCGAGGAGTTCCACACTTCGATCCGACGGGTGGTGCAAGTATTGTCAGCGGCAAGTGGAAAGCTTGGCTTGAAGAGTTCGAAGCCTACGCCGATAGTCGCGGCCTTTTTCTGGACGGATGTACGCCGGCCCAGGAGGCGCAACGAAGAGCACTGTTGCTGTACACTGCGGGGCCTGTGGTAAGGGAGACTTTCAAAACACTTCCCAATAAAGGAGAGAGGAATGAGTATCAAAAAGCCACAGATGCCCTAAATGCTCATTATGTTGTCAAACCTAATGCTACGTTTCAAAGACATTTGTTCAGGAAAACAAAGCAGGAAGATGGTGAAACGGTTGCCCAATTTGTTACCAAATTACGACAGGTTGCTATTGGATGCAATTTCGTAGCTGGGGATGTAGAAAACCAAATTCTTGACCAAGTAGTTCAGTACTGCAGAGCTGATAAACTTCGCAGGAGAATGCTGGAGAATGCTGAGCTCAAGTTAAATGATGCATTGTCCATGGCTGCTGCTCTAGAAGCTGTTGAAGGTCAATTTAACTCCATGTCATTGAGAGAGAGAGAAAGGCCTAGAGCTGGTGGACAAGTTCAAGTGAATCAAGTATCGTACGAGAATGACAGAAAAAAGAATTTGGAATGCTACCGATGTGGGAACAAAGGACATTTTGGGAAGGATGCATCATGTCCAGCCAAAGGAAAGATCTGTCGGAAATGTGGAGGCCAAAACCACTTTGCGACGATGTGCAAAAGTAAGGCCAAGAGCACAAGTGAGGCGAGAGGAAAATTCAGAGATGGGAAGTCCAGAGATGGAAAGAAGTATAAGAATAGAGTTCGCCAAGTGGAAGGTGAACCCGGACATGATAGTGATGATGACAACAGCCGTGGCCGTGATCAGAGGTACTATCAATTTGCTGTGAATGGTGATCATGAGAAAGTCCCAATAATCATTGGAGGTGTCACAGTCCCAGTGATAGTAGATTCGGGAAGTGATTGCAATGTAATAGATCAGATATTGTGGGAGAAACTGAAGAAGGACAAAATCATCTGCAAATCTACTAAGAGTACCAAGAGGCTTTATCCGTACACATCACAGATACCATTAACAACTGTTGGATGTTTCACAGCCACCGTAGAAGTTGGCAAGATGAAGTCGACTGCAGAGTTTGTTGTCATTAAAGAAAAGGGAGAACCTTTACTGAGCAAACATACGTCTAGAGAGCTGGGAGTGCTCCAGGTTATTATAAGAGAACGTCACCCCATTCCCACTATTGAGGAAGTCCTACAGGAGCTGTCGATTAGCAAGGTCTTTTCGAAAATAGACCTGAAGTGGGGGTACCACCAACTGGAGTTACATCCGGAGTCTAGAGAGGTGACAACCTTTGTCACTCATTGTGGGTTGTTCCGCTATAAGAGACTGTTGTTCGGAATCAATGCTGCTCCAGAGATTTATCAATATGAGATACACAGAGTGATAGCTGGGATAGAAGGAGCTGCGAACATATCAGATGACATCATTGTGCATGCATCGACCCAGAAAGAGCATGACAGTGGTTGAAGCAGGTGCTTGGCAGACTGCGGGACGCAGGACTTACTGCAAATGCAGAAAAGTGTAAGTTTGGTGTCTCTGAGTTGGACTTCATGGGGCACAGACTGACTAGCGAGGGACTCAACCCAGGATTGGCCAAGGTGAAAGCAATTGCAGAGGCCCGTGAACCCCAGACTGCAACTGAGATGAGAAGTTTCTTGGGGCTAGTCAACTACTGCGCAAAGTTCATTCCGAACTTTGCTACATTGGCAGATCCACTGAGAAAGCTGACCAGAAAGGACACGCCATTTCAATTCGGTCATGAACAGCGACAAGCGTTTAAGTCGCTAAAGGAAAGCTTGATGAGTGCAGAGACCCTGGGCTACTATGATCTGAATGCACCGACAAAGGTCATAGCGGATGCCAGCCCAGTTGGCTTAGGAGCAGTGCTGGTGCAGGTGCATGCTGATGGCCCGAGGATAGTAGCATATGCTAGCCGCTCGTTAAGTAACGTTGAAAGGAGATATTCTCAGACGGAGAAAGAAGCCCTTGGACTTGTGTGGGCTTGTGAAAGATTCCATGCGTACCTGTATGGAATAGAGTTTGATCTAGTGACTGATCACAAACCGCTTGAAGTCATTTATTCACCGAGATCTAAGCCATGTGCGAGAATAGAGCGGTGGGTTCTGAGGCTTCAACAGTACAAGTACAGGGTAGTCCACATCGCAGGAAAGTCCAACATTGCAGATCCATTGTCAAGATTGCTGAAGGATGATCAACCGAGAGGAACTTCTGTGTTGGAAACAGAAGCAGAGAGCTTTGTGCGTTTTGTGGCAGTCCAGTCAACGCCAGGTGCGGTGACAACGAAGGAAGTCGAAAGAGAATCTGAACATGATCCTGAACTCGAAGTTATCAGAGAGTGTATTCACAGTGGACAATGGGATGATTGTCCATACAAAGCATACATTCCCATCAAGGATGAACTCTGTATAATTGGTCAGTGTGTGCTGAGAGGTAGCAGATTGGTGATTCCACAGGCACAGAGGCCAAAGATGGTGTCATTAGCTCACGAAGGACACCTGGGCATTGTTGGCACCAAACAAAATTGAGAACCAAGGTATGGTGGCCAGGATGTGAGAAAGATGCAGAGAAATTCGTCAAGACTTGTCATGGTTGCCAAATCACAAGCAGGGGTAATCCACCAGAACCAATTCGAAGTACTATGTTGCCAACAGGACCTTGGGTGGATGTAGCTGTTGATTTCCTAGGACCACTTCCGACAGGAGAATCTATACTTGTGGTAGTTGATTATTATAGCAGATACTACGAGTATGCAATCATGAAATCAACCACTGCAGAGAAGACAGTCAAAGCCCTGGCTGAAATCTTTGGCAGACATGGGTTACCTGTGACGTTATACTCAGACAATGGACCCCAGTTCATCTCAGAAGTTTTTGCAGAGTACATGAACATTACAGGAATTCACCACCATCGGGTGACTCCTAAATGGCCCCAAGCCAACGGCGAGGTCGAAAGACAGAACCAGAGTATAGTGAAAAGGCTTAGAATTGCACAGGCAGAAGGCAAGGATTGGAAAGAGGCCTTGCTGACTTACGTCGCAGTCTACCGGGCTAGTACTCATTCGACAACGGGAAAAAGCCCGGCAGAAGTGTTGTTCGGGAGAAAGATCCGAACTAAACTACCACAAATCCAGGACATTAGTGAGGATCAGGAACTCAGAGACAGGGACCTCCAAATGAAAAGTGGTGCAAAACACTATGCAGATCTGAAGAGGGGAGCTGTACATTCTGACATAGTGCCAGGAGATAAGGTGATAGTAAGACGTGATGAAAGGAGGAAACTAGACACGCCATACTTTAGCCAGCCATATACAGTGACAGCAAGAACAGGAAGTATGGTAACTGTGAAATCTCCTGACGGAGTCCTGTATAATAGGAATGTATCAAGTGTAAAAAGATACATGTCCCGAGACACTCATAACGAAGCTGCCAATCCAGAGAGGACAGACGGCAATCCTGAGGCGGTGACCGGTATTCCTGAAGGGTCTGACGGTAATCCTGAGGCGGAGACCAGTACTCCTGAGGCGGTGACCAGAGATCCAGACTCAGAGGCAGCGAGCAACACATCAGGCGGTGACCAGAGACATCAAGATGGTGATACCCAAGCAGAGACAACAAACACCAACGTTCCTATGGCAGCTAGTAGACCACAACGCCAGAGAAGATTCCCTAAGCGATATGATGATTTTGTGTGATTCCAGATCAATATGGTGGGGAGGAGCTCTTTGTAAAATAGCGACAGTGATGTATGAAACTACATGTGCCAAGGAGAAATGTTTGGAAATCATTGGTTGAAGCCAAGTTATGATTTAAAGGGTGTACGCCTTGCGCTGCCCATATTTGTGAAATCGACATGTTGGAGAAAGCACCATGGAAACCAAGCGTACGAGGAAGTTGTGTTATGTGCTAAAATAATAAGTTCTGATATATATGTTTCAATATTACACATACATTAATCAATGTAAAAGGGTGTACGCCGAACGCTGCCCTTATTGTATGTGATAGGTGTTGCGAAAAACACAAGTTTGAGTTGGAGCATCGATCAGTTTTCAAAAATGGATTCAATCATCGAAGAGAGTATTTCCAGAAACTTCAGTTTCAGCTAGTCGTATGAACGCTTGGAGATAACAGATGATTTACACAAACTCAAAACTAGAACTCAAATAGTATCCAGTGAACAGTTGAACTTTTATTTGGACCACAGACTAGATGCATGAAAGATATTGCATGAAAGATATTATATTGCATGTTATGTTTTATGTTGTTCAACAAAGTTGTTTGGAAGATAAAACATTTGGGAAAAGTTTATCGACCAGATAAATTTGTTGTTTGTTAGAAGTTGTTCTTAAAAAAAAAAAAGAAAAAAAAAAAGGAAGAAACAAAAGCAAATGCACCAAAGCATGTTTATTTCAGTAATTCACATATGGCTGAAACACAAGAACAAAAGAAATATTACAAGAATTTTCAGTGAAACTATAGTATAAAAATAGACCAGGATAAAGTTTCATTCTGGCAAAGGAGGGATGTCATGATAATGAATATGTATCAGATTATGCAAATGTGACACCTGTGACCTC